CAGCTGAAGCCAGTTTGTCGCCAAAGTCTTTCGTTTCGATTTGATTGCACTGGACTTGCGTGTGATATCGGTACATACGACTTACGTGTAGGCACATACATAGTGTTTTCATTTGTCCAAGTTATCTGCATATAATTTCTATATGTATATTAAAATGTGTGCACGATCAAGTGTGAGGTGTGTTCCGCTTACCTAACACACGGCGACGTGATTTCATCTAATTTTTGCAACAGAAGTTGATCGGCGAGTTTTTTTTTAATTATTTTTTTTTTATTATATATTAATAAAATTGAATAAAGTTCTCAGGCAATATTTTTCCACTTTTTGTAGACAATATTAACATTTTTAGGTTAGTGTTTAGTATACGTTTTTTTTAAGTTGACTTTATGGTCTTTTGATTGTTTTTTGCTATACTTTTTATAATTTTTGTATATGTATATTTTTTTATACATTTTTTTGTTACATAATAATTTATATAATCTACAAAAAAAATTTTTTACATAATATTTTATATACTTTTTTTATATAATTTTTTTTATATAAATTTTTTTTATATATACTTTTTTATATATAATTTTTTTATATACTCATTTTATATACTTGTACTTTTGTTTTTACATAATTTTTTTTTACCGAAATATTTTTCTTATTCAATTCACATATTGTTGTGTTTGATTTCAACAACTCGTTCGCCCGTAAGCAATTGCCAGTCCGCTAACCTGCTGGCTTGTAGCGTTTTAAAGCCTCTAACGGTTAGTCGGCTAGCCAGCTAGGTTTGGTTGTGTGCTCAGCGCGCTTGCGGAGTTAATTACTGGCTAATATTAATAATATTAAAACACCCACAAACCGCCTAATTAATTGTTGCATTATTACGCCATAAATCTTACGAGTATTTGTAATAATAAAATATCTCAGTGAAAGTATGTTAAGTGTTTTCCTCCAGCTTATAAACATATTTAAATTGAGGAAGTTTTGTATACTTGTTAAATATCATTTAGTTGTGTGAATTTCAAATTTTCCACAACAAAGCCAATAATGTTGCATGGAGCGTTAATGACAGTGGCAACAAGCGCCAGGCGACAGCTGAGTGACTTCGAATCGCCTATTGTGGCTTTGTCTTGCCTGACACATAATATGCCGTTTAGCGCTCGTTTATTGTCGCATAGCTAACAAGGCGAAGCGCATTTTTTTCCTCGTCGTATAATTTCCACATTTCTTTATAAGCGCCTTGGTGTGAAGAATTAAATTTTCGCTTCTTTCGGTTTTGGTTTTGGTTTCAATTTCGATTTCCACTTCCAATTTAATTCGTGCTACGTGTTTGAATTGCCGTGCGACTCAGCCACCATTTTTGTGTAAAGTGTTTTTTATTTTTGTTGTGAATTAATTTTTCTTTTATTCTTTTTTTGTTTGTTTTTTTTTTTGCTTTTGTGTTTGAGTGACCTTTAAAAGTTGTGCTTTTGTCTGGAAAGTGTTGAGTGTTCAGTTTCTCTCTCATTTTTGTTGTTGGTATTTTTTCTGCTGACCAACCTGTTGTTATGTTTGCTTTACGGCGCTTTGTTGTTATTCAAATCTTGTTTCTTTTCATTAAAAGTCATATTTGTTTTTATAATTTGCAAAAGTTACTGCCTCTTTCGGTTTGATGCGCTGCTTAAACGATCATACTATATTAGATTTATGTATGTATGAGTCTTCCTTATACCGCCAACGCTCAATTAATACTCGTATTTTTTTAGCAGATGAATATGATTTATTATTGCAATTTGTTGGCCGTTTTCTTGATATTGTACGAAAAAAATTATAAGGGTAAAAAATAATAAAAAATAAAATGTCGTCATTTGGCTGCAAATAGCTTTAGTGCGCTTTAGAAAAATATTTTGTGTTGTATCTTTTTAATTCTAGTCAATTGTATATAATTATATTTCATATTTGCGCTTTGATTACTTGATTTTACTCCTTTATTACGCAATTTGTTTGTATTGCAACTGGCTATTACAACAATTTTATTTACACTTCAGCTTTACTTTGCTTACTCTGCGTACGATGTGGCCACATAGACTCATTTATAAAAGCGTAATATTCCATTTAAATAGTTGTATCTTATATATATATGTATATAAGTTAGTTGTTGTTATGTAGTGTGATATTTTTGATAGCTTTTACTCATCGATTAATAAGCTCCCATATAAATAAATTATAATTTTAGTAGTATTAAGAGAAATAAAAGTAATATCCGTTATATATATTAGGCTTTGAAACCTAAACACACCATTAGGGTAATCGATTTTTAAGTTAGGAAGCGGACAAGGAAATATTATTAAATAAATTTAATGGAAAAACTAGACCAAGATGTAGACAGAATAGAGAAATAGCTAAGTTTCCATTCTATTAAATTTTTTTTGTACAGTATTGAACCAAAAATCTGTAATTTCAATTGGATAGTGCTTTTTCTGACTTAGTTTGATCAATAGGTTTACTATATGACGTTAGAAATATAAGCCGGCGCAAAGGATGGGTATGCTGAGGACGGCCATTAATAGAAGATTTTGCTATGTGATTGATGGGTTTGGTAGGGAATCATTTACTATGAGCTGCTCCCCTACAGTCAAACTCTTAATTCGGACTTGTAATATCCACACGTGGACCGTCTGAAGCAAGCAATCGCCTGAAAGCGGCTAGCTTTGCCGCAGTAGGAGGGGAATTATGTTCGATCGGGATAACGCCATATAACTCACGTCGATAGTGTCTCGCCAAAAATTCCGAGAGCTTGTTTGAGAGGTGCTTACCATATGCATCCACCGTGTTGTCTGTACCTGGTACCAAATGATTACTATCTGTTCCTGTCTATGGTGAATGATTTTGCTGTAGAAAAATTCGCCCCAAGAGAAACTTGTAAAAACCGACTGTCGCAAGTTTTTTTTTGTGCCAAAAAGAACGACTGATGAACGGACAAAGATTTTGGGAATATTTTGTAACCCTAAAGGCACGCTTCGTATGAAATCGTCAGAATTTAACACATTACTGTGATTTCGGCTTTTACAATTTCCCACAAGTTTACTTGGGAGTTAAGTTCTAGAAACTCCGGATGCTACTTTATTATAACCATTTTGTTTTTGCGAACCCGTGCTTTTAAAGCCTTTAAAGTGTATTGGATTTTGAAAAACCCATTTTAACCCTTTTATTTTGGTTTATCTATAGGTATAAATATACCGAACCATTACACCACTAATATGATAAAGCGGTCCCAAACTTGGAAAAAAAAATACTCCCAGATCATAAAATAGCTTTATTGTTGACGATGATGCACTTTATAAAGCGGGAAATTATTCACGAAATTGAAGACTTATGAAAGTTTATATTTTATGATTTTTTGAGATGTGCCTGTATTATACTATTGTAAATAGGGGTGAACTGTTGTGTGTAGCTTTTAAATGACACTCGGCTAACATATTTATGCATAAAAATAAGTTTAAATGAAACAATAATTGATTACTTTTCGCCGATGCACAGTCGAGTCTGAGTTGTATTTGTTTTGACTGTCGGTGTTATAGCAATGCTCTATTTAATCCGATGTTGCGATCTATTTAGTTGCAAATGTTTTGTACAATAGTGTGCTATTATTTTCATGCATCATGTAATTTCACGTTAGACAAGTAAGTGTTTCACAATTATTTGGGATCAGTATCAAAAATGTATGTTTTAATCTGAAACTGGCATATCATAAAAAAACCGATTAACACAGTTTGTTGAAAATCCGAGAGAAAATCCTATGATCAATTCATATAAGAAACGAACGTGAGCAAAATTTCAGTTTGATATTTCAAAAACTGAGGGACTAGTTCGCGTATATACAGATAGTCAAACGGGCAGACAGACGGACATGGCTAAATCGACTAAGCTCGTCATGCTGATCATTTATATGTATGTATATATTTTATAAGGTCTCCGATGATTTATATGTTTCCTTCTAGGTGTTACAAACTTTGTTACCAACTTAATATACCCTCTTCTGCGTATAAAAAAATTATTTGTTTAATTTACACAAATATATTTTAAATAATAAACAAAATTAGTGTCGATGCTAGCTAGTATGTTTTCAGATCATTTAGTAGATAAAAGTAAAATAGTAAATTGTAAAATCATATTTGTTTATCGAAATGCGAATATTTTTTTTTTTATTTAACAGTATCAAAACCACTAAATAAAATTTTCTTTCGGCAAATTTTTTTTTTTATTTTTAGTTAATGTTAGTTGTTTTATACATTATATAGAAAATTATTAAAATCAAAAATGAAAATATAATTAAAAATAAATAACTAACATTTATAATAATATTAAAATAATATTAGCGCATAACAGTTTTAAGTATAAAATTATGACACAAGTTGTATATTTTTTTCAGTAATTCGCATATACGTATTATTATTCGCATTTATTTATTTTATATACAACATCGATCACTCAGTAAACCTGCCGGCTGTAGCATAGTTTTGGCAAATATTATTTCGATAAACTTACGTATATATACATTCACGTTATGAGTATGTACTCATCAAGCTGTTTCTTTGATATTATCTTGCTTGGACACACATACATATCTACTCACATACTTATTTTTTCGATTGCGAAGTGTTAATGTAGTACAAAAATAAGATAAACAAAACAAAGTTAAAGAAATGAGTTTATTAATAGTCAATTTTGTTTGACATGCCTTAGCTCGTTGCTGAATCATCTTATATATAAGCATATTAGTGATTTTTCAAACTTAGTCAACCAAATATTAGTGCTTTGCTTTGGTGACAGTCGTTTGAATTTGTTGCGGTTTGTTGTTTGTTGCCGTTTCTACTACTTGCTGCTAATATATTCGTATATATGTGTGTTTTGTCTTAATTTAGCTAAAAGCCTTTTACTCTAGCGTTCTTCCTTAATTACCAACCGAAATATTTTCATTTGCCTGTAAATTAAACGTTGTTTTTGGTTCTCTTCTCTCGTCCTCATTTTAGTCACTTCGCTGAGCGACTCACAACATCCACAGCGTACTGCCAAAGCAACAAATGCTACAGCCACAGCCACAGGCACCGCCAACACAGCACAACATATAAAATCAGCCACCGGTGCGGCAGGCACAACGGCGGCACACACCACAGCTGCCACATCGAAGGTGTTCATCAAGAAGTCGGGCAGTAATTCGTCGACGCAAAGCTCAAATCGTAAGGACAGTTTCGGCTCATATGATTCACTCAACGATATACTCTCTGAAACAGGCTTGCAGAGCGGCAATGTTGCCGCACAACGCAAATCGTTGGAGAATAAAAATCTAGATTTGACAGCGAATGCGGCGGACGCCAGCAGCCGCTTGGCACTGAAGAAACAACAACAGCAACAGCAGCAGCAACAACAGCAACAGCAACATTTACAGGAGACAAAGACCATATTGACAAATAACGGTAGTATTACTACAACGACCACAACAACAACCAGTATGTCGTCAAGCTCCGCTGCAGTCACAAATGAATTGCGCAAGAGCTTGGAGAGTCTGGATGAGAAGACGAAGACACCACCGCCAGTGCTGACGAAGAAGCCCACCGTGACCACGAAGAAACCATCGAGCGTTTCAGGTGTAGCGAGTAAGTTTTGAACATATTTTACTTAAGTAAATTTATCACGTTACAATTTATATTTTCTACACGCAGGCAATCTTTTCGGCTTCGGCAAACAAAAGACGAAAGGTGCTGACAGCAAACTCACCGCAGCTGCTTCACAAGATTTCGCCGACGGCATGGGCAGCAGCAAGATGTCAGCGAGTAGCCAAGGCGAGGCGGTAGTGTTGCGCCGCGCTGCCACTATAGCGGTTGAAGACTCCGATTTCGATCGACTAGAACGCGCATCCATATTACCCGATATGCGCGCGGGTCGTGTAAAGGCGCCTAAGCGACGACCACCTTCGGCGGCCATCAATATTATTGGCGAAAGCAATAATAACAACACAATTTACCTCAATGGTAGCAGCAGCGGTGGCGGTGCATCAGGTGGCGAGCTCTCACAAGAAGAAAGCAAACTGCACTCCTCCGATGATAATTCCACCGGCGAGGAGCCTTTGGCCAAACCGAAACCACGCGAATGGGAAAAGAAAAAGGCACCTTGGATGGAGGAGTTGAAAGCAACTCAAGTGAAAAAGAAGACATCACCCAGTGTCGAACCACGCACGCAAGCGCCCACTAACGCGCCCGCCGACCGTACATCACGCCTACTTGGCGATGATGTCAAAGTGACGAACAGCAATCATAACTTTGCCAGCTCTTCCGCCAACACGGCGACCGTAAGTCACAGTAGCAGCAGTAACGCAACCAGTAGCTCCAGCACCACCACCACAAAAGTACAGGCATCTTCATCGGTTACGTCGAGCGTCATGCAGCAATCGATGACTGTCGAGAGTAGTCAACAACTACTGAAGAAGGAATTAAATTCTTCAAACACTATTGCTGACATCATGACCAAAAGTATGAGCAATAAATTCACCACTGACTCATCGTTAGCGGCTGCGACGACAGCAGCACCGAGCGCCGCCGATGATGTGCGCATACGACCTAGCAGCCTTTCGATACGTAATCGCAGTATGTCACCTTCGCTGTTGGAAGGTGGCAGTAGTGGTGGCGGTGCGCGCACAACGTCAATGAAAAGCAACGCTTCTCCAGCACCGGCAGTTGTCAATGAGCCCAGCTCCAATGGCACCGCTCCCTCAGCCGCTGCGAGTGCAGCTTTAGCGGTGGCAACAACGGCAGCGACAACCGCGTCCAGTCAAAATTCAATAGGTGCTAATAATCATTATCAGCCGCGTAGCAACAACACCGCGGCACCTGGCAGTGATAATACGCGTATATGCGAACTGGAACGGCGTGTGGGCAAATTAGAGCTGACAGTGGTGTCACAACAACGTACCATCGATGAGCTGGTGCGCTTGCTGCGCGAGGAGACGGATCGTGTGAAGGTTCTACGCGGTGAACTGGACAAATATGCGCAGTGCGTGACGCAAGTTTAATCGTATAGCCATAGTTATACTGCTTGTATGTGGTTAGCGTAATGTAGAGCGATGTTAATGCGCTAGTGACGTTCGTTAGTGTGGTTGTGCCCCAGTCCCTTAGTGCTCTGTAATGGCAATGCGCTTGTATAGATCAAGTGAAGTGCGCATAGTGTTTTTCTAATTTACTTGCATATTTTACTGCATTCCAATATATTTTATAAATAGTTTTTGATTTTCCTTCTTAAATTATGTGACTAATTTAACATTCTTCGGGCATTGCAAAGAAATTCCCATAACTAGATTATAGCAAGTTTGTGGAGCGAAAAATGAACCCATTAATCTTTAAGTAAAACACTTGTTAAATTAAGTACATGTATCTATAACCATTTAATAATTGTTTTCTTCGAAACCGTTATGAGTTTGGTTTTGCATGTTTTTTTCTCTCCCCTGCGCCTACGATTGGATCGTACTACAGTGGTTGAGCGGTATATTTTGCTTTATATTAATTGCTGAATGAAAAAAAAACAAAATACTTAGTAGGCAATATTATAAAAGTATCAAATACATAAACGATATTAGTAAACAATAATTGTACCATATCAAAACGATTTTCAATATATTTTCTAAATACACAACATGTGGAGTTTTATAAAAATAAAAATATAACGCAGTACTTAACATAACAAAATGCTCTTCTTTAAAATAAAGTAAATGAAACTACAATTTCATCTCGTGTATTGGAATAAATAGTTTAAGCAACTAAACTACAAACTAAGTATTTTTCTAAAAAAATCGCTAAAAGTTAGTCTAAAAATACGATTACGATTTTAAAAGTGATTTGAAGTTAAATCTCCAATTGACTTATCCAAATACATATTATATGAAGTTGGCAAAAAAAAACATTAGAATGACAATTAATTGCCATTAAGTTTTCTTAAAATTCTCTATGTAACACAATTTTCAATGCTTAGCTCCGTTGCATGTCAATTACTTATAAATAACCAAGATCAATTAGGCAATGTATGCAAAATTTATTTTCTTTTGATTTTAGCAAGTTATTATGCGCGTCCATATGTAAAGCACTTTAGCGAACTTATTTATAATTAATAATTTTGTTTATAATATTATTTACTGCAATCATGTACTATATTAAATATACGTTTAAATATTATTAGTTTATAATACTGAAACTGAAATAATAATAAAAATTCGTACGAACATAATTTTATTTTTGTTTATTTTTATTTGCTCGTAATGAAATTAAAGTGTGCTAAGAAAGTGGCGTTACTTCAATTTTTTTTATTTAGCGAAGATCGTTTCTTTTCTTTCTTCAATTTCAAAATTGACTTTTTTTACATTTAAATAAAGGTAATAGTGTTCAATATCTTTAAAATATTTCAAAAGTCATTAAGATTATTTAAACTAATATAAATATTTTATTTTTAAGGGTTGATACATTTTAAGACGGATTTCTAAGAACAACACAATATTTTGAATTATATATGATTATATGAAGTACATTTTTTTTTAATTTTAGTTTTTTAATAATTAAAGTATTTTTAATTTGCTTTTTTAATTTTAAAATATTTTTATTTAATTGTTTTAATTTTTTTAACCTAATTCTTTTAACTGTTTTTCTTTTTTTATATGTTTTATTTTTTAATTGTTTTTATTTTATTTAAATTATGTCTTTTGTTTTGGTTTTTAAAATGTTTTTTTCTTTTTTAGTTTTTAAAATGTTTTTTATAGGTTTAAAAAATTTGTTTTTTTAACTTTTTTTAATATTAATAGATTTTATTTTTAATATTTAAAAATCTTTAAAAAGCTGTATGTACTGTCAAATTATCATTAAATATTTTTCAAATATAATTCTACTTTTTTCCATAATTTTTTTAATTTTTATAATTAAAATTTGTAAAATATTAATACCTTGTATAAACACCTTCAACTTATGAAATATGAATGTATAGTTTTTTGTTATTTTATACTATTTTTTATTAATTAATTTCTAATTATAAAGTAAATTCTTCTTTTTATTCATTTAAATGCAATTATTGAAATTTCGTAGAAAAAATAAATAAAAATAACAGTAATAATGAAATTCAAAACCAATATAAATACGTTTTGCACATATACGTATACACTTATTTTTTAACAATTTAATTTCGAACACTAGAATAGAAAATAGAATTCAACGCAAAATTCAAAGGAGAGTCACATTTTGGTCTCTCAGCTTCCATGGAGGAGAAGAGTTATTTTCTATTTTTTATTATTTCATTTAGGATAAAATTAAAAACTTTTTTGAAAACTACATTTTTTTCGAAACTCAATTTTTTTTGCCATTTATGATTTTTTATAGTTCAGCTCTGAGCTATGAACAAATACTTGTACATATGTTTGTAGTTATTAATGTATTAAGCAAATTTATATATGTAGATTATTTAATGTTCGAAAAATCTAGAGTGTTTCTGATTAGCTAACTGAAAACGTATATTTTATTTTATTTTTATCAAAAACTGAAAATTATTAAATTGTATTTTCTGTAAACTTCTCTGTCTATTACAAAATGCTTTACAAAATCTGCAGACAACAACAGGCAACACGTCGGGGCAAATTCGATAATTGGATGTTTTAAAACGCGTTGCGATTTGCGTTGGAATATTTCCTTAAATAATTGTGCTGAAAGCGTGTGACTTACAATAATGAACTAAATGTAAAAGTTTGAAATAAAACTTCCAATTTAAATGTTAAATAATTTTTTTTTAATTTACTGTAGCCATATAGGAACAATATAAGAAACTATTATAAATGATTATAATACGAAAGTTCAAAGTAAAAAGAGTACGATTTATTTATGATCTACAATATTTGAATTAATTAAATAATTCTGACAATCTGTTAACTTACAAAATATTACAGTAGCTATTTAAAGTGGAGAAAAATATTTTACAGCAATTATAAAATATATATATTTTATTAAAATTTGTTTTTAGAAATAAAAACTTTAATAATTACATATTTAAAATGAGGATAATCTTAAAAAAATATAATACAATATATATTACTGAAAGTTATACATACAGAAATATTTATTAAAAGTACACACAATACAAGCTGATAAATGAACTTTTTTCAGAAATAGTATTTCATTTGTAAACATACATCACATGAGTTCGCCTATAAACCATAGAAATATTTATATACTAATATGGAAGGAAAAATTCCTTACCAAATTTTCAACTAAGACGCGTTCTTCTCTAGATAGGCCCAGAAAATTATAAGACTCTTATATAAGTTTGCTTCTTCGGTTGAATTTTGAATATATTTTTACTATAATCCGTTCTCCAGTAAGAGGTCATAAAAGGACAACACGCTAAATTAACAAAATGTTTGCCCACCACAAACCCGGTTATATTTTATCAGTTCTGAGGCTTCGTTCAGAATTATGCAACGTAAGAAAATAAATATTGGGCAGAAGCTTGAGCTGAGAATTACAAAAAAAAAATGTTGACAAAGCAAAATGAATATACCAAGAAAATATTAATATCTATTGACAAATCTATTTTCACTTGCAAAACAATTCTGTCAATAGTTTCTATGATTAAATTTAGTTAGCAAATTGAAGGAATGCATACTAACTAAATTTATATTTGTACTCAAGTGATCGAAAAGTAGGGTGAATGTGTCATTTGAAAGTCCCGGGCATCAAGAAGGCAGTTAAAAAAATCACGATAATGTACAATGTCAAACTGCATTGGTTCTTCTCGACTTTTTTTTTTGTCAAAAACTAGACTTATATCGTTCCACCAGCACCGTATCCGCTTGATTTGGTTCCGTGCGGTTTCTGGCTATTCAGCAAACTCAAAGGGCCAATTAGGGGACGCAGTTTTGCCACGAGTGAGTTAATAAAAACCGAATCGAAAAAGGTCTTGAAGGCCAAGCTGGAAAAAGATTATTCCGACTATTTCAAGAACTGAAAAAAGCCTTGAAGTTTGATCTGACGAGGAATATTTTGAAAGGGATGAAATTAGTTGTGAAAAATAAATAAAGAATTTACATTTTATAAAAAAATTCACTTTGCTTTTTGATCCCAGTAGTACATAATAAATAAACCTAATGTATATGGGTCCACAGGGCTTAATAGCTTAAGCTTTGTTAAGAGTTAAGGCAGTAAACTGAAATTCGTTACTTCAATGCAACTGAAACGAATTTCATAGAAGTTGAAGGGGAATGCGTGAAATATTTCAAATTACGATAGAACGAGTATGTCAGTTAATTTTATGATATAAACAATAGTAATACAATATTTTTTACTTTAGTCTTTCCTCTTTAATATACATAGTATTAAATAATTCCTGTGGAAGGATATAGTCCGAGAGTTTTTTTTCACACACCTCATTTTAACCTTAAACAATCGATTTTCATACAAGTTTTCGTATCATTAAAACTCGCGTAGACTCTTCTGATTAAGTTTTTTGACTATTTCGAATTTTCGTAATTGAATTTAGCACAGAAAAGTTGAATGGCATCGCTTTACTTTACTTTACCAATATTAGTATTTAATAGTATTAATTTTAAAGTTCACCAAGTATATGCTTCACTTCTTACGGTTTTGCAGTATCGTCTTGAATACTTTCTACTAATTTTCTTTGTTAGAATATTAATAGATCATCATTTTCGATTTTATACCAATTATGTAAGTTTCAATGCCAAGAGGGTATTTGAATACGTAATAATATCAGAGTATTTTTTTTGTAAATTGGATTTTCAAATTTAATTTTAATTTTTTTTTTAAAATAGGATTTCCGATTTTGGTACTAAAAATTAGATTTTTAAGATTGATAATTTAGCTTTTAAGATTTAATTTTAGATTTTTAGAATTAAAAATTTAATTTTTAATCTCATCCAAAATCAGAAAATTTAAAAATCGGTGAGATTAAAAATTAAAAATTTTATTTTAAATTCCAAATTATGATTCTGTTCTGGAGTATTGAAGAAGATGACTCTGTGCGAGTTTAGTGGTAGAACACGAAGTACGCAAACGCGAAAAATGTAAGTTCTAAAACTATTTTTTTTTTATAAATTTTTTTTTAACTCGGTATTTGGTATTTTCGGTATTAAAGAGTAAAGATAAACTTTCAATTTAGTTTTTGGAATTACAAATTTATTTTTTGCGATTACATTTTTTTCAATCCAGTATTTGGAATTAAAAATTTGATAATTATTTTTATTTAATATTTTTGGGATTACAAAAAACCAATATTCTAATGTTAATTCAATTATTTTTTTTGTTGCATTATTGACAAGCCTGAATAATATAAGAGAGAGAATACTACTTTTTGCCTCTGAGAAAGTTTTTGTAGAGTTAACATTGAAATATTTAAATTATATAAAATTGGAAAAATAAAAATAACGAGGAA